ATAGTATGAAACATCTGGTGGATACATTGCACATATAAGCAATTGATCTTTCCTTGAAATATGATTGTAGTTAAATGGAAGTTCCCTGAAAAAATAAGAGATTTTTCTAGTTTTTATGGTAGCAACATTTTGGTAATCCAAAAACCACATGCTCATAATGAGTTGTATTTCCCTTTTCCCAGGTAGCACAGAAGTAATATGAAAATCAACCTCAATTATATTACAAAGCTATCTTTCCTCATTTTGGGCAATAACAGAAAGGAAAATTTGTTATAGTTAATTTTTTTATACCTACCCTCTAAGCTTTCTAAATTACCTTCAGAATATTCATCAATTACTTTGAGTGATTAAATGTACTTGTTATAATTTTAAAAACATAGTTCTTATAGCATTCCCGATGTCTTTATTATCTTTTGGAGGCTGGGAGATTTTTGTAGCCTTTACATATTTTGGATGACTATTCATTTGGGATAAACAGGTATGATTTTTTAAATAATACTCTGAGAATTTCTAGATTCATGTTCTACAATTTCTTTTAAATAATTTAAATAAGTATAATTTTATTCTTAGTGGAAATACTTTTAGACCCTTGATTATATAATTTTGCTAATTGTTGATTATAGTGATTGATGTTTTTATTNTTTTTTTTTTTTCTTTAAGTTTCTCTGGCACCATCTCATTTTATCTTTATTGAAAAATCCAGGGTGGTTGGATTTTGAATTTCTTCATTCCTAAGAACACAGCAACACTTAACAGTACATAAGTAGAAAGTGTGTTTGGATTGTACATGGCTAAAGTGTGTTTGAATTGTGCGTGAGTAAAATGCATAGTCTCAGCACTTGAGTCCTGAGTAAATCGGATAATAATCTCAAGGAATTATACACTCTGTGATGAAAAAGACTTTCTAGTGTGTGCTAAACTTTCATTCTAATGTTTTAATACATTTATGAAGGAAATGCCATGTAATGAAAATGTACTAAGTGCTGACAATACAAAGACAATGCTGTATTCCTGATCTGCGTGATCTTATTTCCAAACAAATGGTACAGAAAAAACATCATTCATAAAGGTGCTTCTTACAGTATTATCTACAATAACACAAACTGTAAACAATAAGAATATGTTTAAATATGTAATAATATATTCATGTAATGAAATGTATGCATCTATTCAATTGATGGTTATGAAGACTCTGTGAAAACATGCAGTTATGTTTATAATTTAATATTATATGAAAAAATGGGATACAATAATTT